CAGCTGGGGTATAAATAAGAGTGCTGGGCCTGCAGTCAGGAAGACCTGAGTACAAATTTGGCCTCAGACACTTAATAGCTGTATGACCCTGGGCAAGTCACTTAGCCTTGTTGGCCTTACTTTCTTCGTCTGTAAAATGAGCTGACCCAGAGAGCTTTGGAGGTTATTCAGCAGTTTTGCTTTAGCAAGCCGAGGGCCGTCTCCAGTCATCCTGATCTGTGTCCTGCCACTGGACCCAGATGGGTCCAGAGGAGAAAGTGAGGCTGGTGACTTTGCACAGCCCTCCCTCACTTTAATCCAGTGCATTTGCAAGTCATGTCATCACCTCCTTGGTGTCATGGTCCTCTTCGAGAACAAAGTACAAACAACAGCAACATAAAGGATTGCTCTTAAAATAAAAGAAATAAAATCCATTCTAATCTAACATTTTTGTTATATTCACATTTCACGTATTTGTCTGTGTTTATAATTTGTTATGTTTATATTCTACTTATATATGACATTTCAGTTCATTAATAGATTCTGGTAAGCCAAGCTTGTTTAATATTTTCCTAGACCTCCTAATCAAGTGGTCAAATTCAGTCCAGTTATTTAGGTAGGACTTGTTCTGGGGACTTCTAAGCTGAAGTAGTTCTACCCAAAGAATGGAAGAGCCAGAGTGTAATAGCTCTAGGGTGTGTTTGAGAGAGGGACCTAATACATCTGATTAATTCCTTTCCTTTGAAATGAAGAAGAGTTTTACCTGCCCCTTCCTTACTCTTAACCCTCAAGATCTGTGGTTATTTATACTATGATTTAAGTGCTCATATATGTGGAAAACTAGGTCATGATATGTTTGTGAAATGCTTAAATTCTGTAGTTTCCTGTATTATCATCATTGTTGTTATCGTTATTTACTAGATCATTCAACACCAGCCAGCCAGTCTCCTCACTCTTCTAACCCAAGTAGTCTGCCAAGTTCTCCTCCAACACACAACCATAATTCTGTTCCATTCTCCAATTTTGGGCCCATTGGGACTCCAGATAATAGGGATAGGAGGATTGCAGATCGTTGGAAAACAGATAAACCAGGTAAGAACTGATTCTCATTGCTAATGGCACAATTAAAGAACTACTATTTTATTAATACTCCTCACCTTCACTTGGCAAATAATAAAAAAAGAACTCAATTCTTTCTTTGTTATCTTAGCTATGGGTGGATTTGGCTTTGATTATCTCCCAGCAACATCCTCATCCTCTGAGACCAGTTGGCACCAGGCCAGTACTCCAAGTGGTACCTGGACAGGCCATGGTCCTTCCGTGGAGGATTCTTCTGCTGTCCTTATGGAGAGCCTAAAGGTGAGTAAATTTTAAGGGACACAAAATAAAAGTCCTTCACTCTTACAGCAGTGTTCTTCTGTCTTTAAGATTAATCAGTGGGTTTTTACAGGCAGATGGCTTGAGGAGTGGTTGACATAAAGCACACATATGGAAATGTTTGGGGAACCATGGATCTGCTTCATGAGTCTCTTGAATGGGGAAGTTTCCTACTGAGAAATCCATTAGTGGCAAAGTGGGATGAGGAAACAAACAGTAAAGGTTTTCCTTTCATCCCAACCTTGCAGGGGAGACATTTTGTCTAAAATCATTCTGACATTCTCAGAAGGCAGTGTCCAGTGTCAAGAGTGGGATTTCTGTGTTGTACTGAAACTCATATAGGTCATTCCTGTGCTCCTAGATGAAACTGAATTTCAGCCAAAATGGTACTTTCACTTTACTGGTTGATCTGGATTGTCATGGGGCTAATGAAAGGGTTTTTTGCAACAAGTTCCATTTCCTTGGTGCTTCCTGGTTATGTGCACATATGTTTGTATGTTAAACACTCTTCTCCGAGAAGTTGGCCTGTCCTAATGAGATGTGTATTTTTCAGTCTATCTGGTCCAGTTCCATGATGCATCCTGGACCTTCAGCCCTGGAGCAGCTGTTGATGCAGCAGAAGCAAAAGCAGCAGCGTGGACAAGGCACCATGAACCCACCGCACTGAGGCCAAGGTGGCAACCCTGGTGAACCAAGGCTCCATGAACCATGGCATGTTGGGTTTGCAGGACTGGCCCACACAGGAACCTGCGGGTGGCAGCCCTCTTTTCTGTTTCTCAGTGTTGAGAGGGTGTAAGTGTTCCACCAGCCCACTGAGTGTGCACGAAATGTTCGCAGTGCAACAACAAAAAACATCAGGAACTCTCCTGTCCCCCTGGGCCCACCGGGAGGGAGAGAGGAACTGCTGTTTGTCTCACTCAGTTACCTGATATCACCGCCTCTCACCTTCTCCATCGTGCATGTCCCCAGCCACATGGGAAGGGAAAGCTGAGAACGAAAGGCAGATGGGAGAAGCCAATGGAAACTTCTCGATCCTTTTTTCCTCTTTGGGGAATAAAATAGGAATCCATTAATGATTGCTTTGCTGACTGAGAATGTAGTTGAAATTATTCCTAAACATCTTTATTATTACTCTCAGTAGTAAAAGATCACACTGAATTCTTCCATACACAAATGTGCTTGTAGTCAGTGTGTAGCAAGGAAAGCCTCGTTCGCTGCTCGTGTCCGAGGTAGGTGGTGACAGGATGGGGGAGCATATCTCCTCAGCCAGGGGGAAGTGTTTCCAGGAGAATACATGACCTCACCTTTCACTCAGAAGGCTCTGGCTGGCCCTTTGGTGGCCTGGAGGCTCCAGCAGGCAATGCCCTTCACTCTGTTGGTACTCTGAGCTACAATCAGGGACACAGTGTGTGTGCTGGGGCTGTGCTGGACAAGCAGGTGACTGCTGTAGGGTTTTAAATTAACGTTTCTGATTCCTGTACATTTTACAGTAGCATAGCAAGCAATCTCACAGAAGCCAGGCTAGTCTGTCCATTCATGGCCTGACCCATTTTAATAGGTAGTAGAAGCTTTCAGTGTGGTTTTTTTTCCCTTTTTGTTTTTGTTCCCCCATCCTATTCACCTACCCTTCCTCCCATCCCTCAGATTTCTCCCTTTACCCTATGCTGGATGCTAGTAGTTTTTATTCCTAATGTACAACATCTCACCAAGAAGCAGCATGGGGTCCAGCAGTTGGGGGCCCACCCCAGAAGATGGTCCAGACAGGCAGGAAGCAGCAGCATATGCACAGCCTACTAAGGGGCACAGGCCCCTGCACAGCGCCAGTCCCTAACCCTCCAGCTCCAGAGTGAAATTCAAAGCACCATGGACATATGCATCTCATGGGCACAGAAGAAAACAACGCAGTTCATTTCTGAAAAGGTGCAAAGAAAGGGAAATAAACTTTTTATTTGATATTTATTAGGGGGAAAGAAGACTGGAAATTTTCCTGTGTAGAAAAAAAGGACACTTCTGTTAGTCGTTTCCTGGAAAAGTAATATTGTATGGGAAAATTATGGAAACAATCTCAATGTCCAATTGCTGTGCTGGTGATAAGATTTTTTTTCCTGGGTTTTGTTTTTGGTTTTTTTGGGTTTTTTTTTTCCTTTTTTCAAAGTGTGTGAGGGTGTATGTGTGCTTGCACACTCACACTGCTATAGGGTATGAGGTAGTTCAGGACCTCAGAGCTGGGGCATAGCTGCAGAGCAGAGCACAGCCAGAAGCCCAGCATCACTGGAGCCTGGGCAGAGGGGCGGGGTGCACATCGCTCATCCCGGGAACGGTTGGATTCCCCCGGTACTTGCAGCGTTAGCACTCTGAGTTTGTCGTGGTATTTTGTTTTTATTTTTCAAAGGTCTCCAAAAGGGTAAAGCCCCTACCCCAGTGGCAGTATGAAACCTTCCATGCGTCTCTCCAGCCCTTCCCCCTCTCTGCCTCTTCCTTTTTCCTCCCCCTGCCAACCTTACCCCAGTTTGTGTGTTTGAGCTGTGCATCCAGGCAGCTGCAACATTCCAGTGTTTGAAATGTCACTGACTCTTGCACCCTAGACAAGCTAACCAGGTTCACCATCTCACTCCCGGCAGTGCCCTAAGTCCTAGCCACAGTCCCATTTCTGCATGAGAATCTGGTGTTTGGAATGTTTTCTGGTTCTTGGGGTGGGGCTCCCCATCCTATCATACTCATTGTGGAGTTATGAGGAGGGGAGGGGAACCCCAGCAGAAACTGGTTTGTGTAGTAAGCTTTCTTTTGTGTTTTTGTCTGTGCAAGACATGCAGCTGCTGAAATCAGCTTTGCCTTTAATTAAACCATGTTCTCTCCAACCAGACCTGTGTATAGATTGCATTTTTTCTACCATATAAATTAGGTTTATGTAAAGACAACATTTCTAAGAATTGCATGTACCATTAACATAGACTTGAAAAGAGCAAAATTAAGTACTGTGAGGTGGTTGTCCTAGGAGGAAACAAAGGTGATCACAGCCTGAATATATGCAATATAGGATCTGCTTTAACTAAAGCCAAGGATCATAGTAGATGGATAAAGAAAAACTGGTTTTCACACTAATTCTGTCAGGATTACACCAATTTAACCCATGTCCTTCTTTTGGAGATTTTAATGGCTGGCTTTGGTTCAGATACCTAACCTCTCTGGTCCTCACTTTCACCTTTTTTGTTTTTAAAAAGGGATTGGACCTAGATTATCTCTAAAGTTTTAAATACTGTCATAAGTTACATTTTGGAGAAGTATATCTCTATTTCCCTAAGTTAGATCTTCGGGCACAATGAAAGTGTGGAAGCCTTGGGTTGCTTTACAGTACCATTTCCAGGAGCACTCTGTTACGATCTCACTTTTCAAGCCAAAGACTACCTTTGGTTTGAGCCAGAATTGCCCTTTTTTCTAACCCAATGGTTGGATCAGAATAACGTACCAGCAAAAGGCAAAATGCCACCCTTTTTGGTACTGTTGATGTAATTTTGAATTTGCTTCTGTGATGCCACTTTGCACAAACATCTTTACTAACTCAAAAAAAATCACTGAATGCTTCAGACCTCAATCAGGAGAAATAAGTGAAAAGAGAGTACAAATAGGCAGGCACACACCTCCAATTTATAGCCCTTCACTTTGATTGATTTATTCTAAAAGTACATTAGGAAACTGATATTTTACAGCTGTAGTTCATTGTTATATGGACATGAAAAACTTTGGGATGAACTTAACAGAATTAGCCCATCAGCAAGAAAAAGATAACATTTAAAAGGTGAACAATTGAGTTTCATGACAAAACCAAAGAAACTAAAGTAAAGCTATTGAGGGTAGGCCAGAAGAGTTTGGTGGAGAAAGGAATACTGGATTCCATCAAAATGTGTCTTAAGAGCAAGACAAGTAAGTCACTTAACTTCTCTTGAGACTTCGTTTGCTCATTACTAAAATGAGAATAATAGAAAACCACTGTGGTCACATGGAAAGAGTGTGAAATGTGAGTCCAGGCGGTGTAGGTTGAAATCTCTCTTCTTCTACCCCTTCCCCTACTTTTACTACCTGTGAGACCAGGGCCTAGTTTGTTTGCCACCCAGGAACAGTTTCCTCCTGGGAATTCTACTGTTTGTACAATATCCCTTACACAGTTTAAGGAAATTAAGATTTAAGGAAATCACTTTGCAAAACTTCAGCAGCCATTGGCATGCCAGATAGCTGGAAGACCTGGGTTCATTCAAGTCTTGCATTAGAAACATCCTGGTTTTGTGATAATCCGGCTAGTTATTTAATCTCTCCGTGCTCTGGTAAGCCCTAAGAATCTAGGTTGCAGAGGAGGTGCCATCTTGCATTGGTAGAGGGATTTTCCTCACTCTAGGAATCCTCGTGACATTGAAATCACAATAGGATTCAATTCCTTATACTATCTCATACTTGTACAAGCTACCTCTCAAAGTGGTTCTGAAGAAGGTGCTTGGTAAATTTTAATCTAAAGATTTTAACTTAGAATACTCTGGCTTCCTGAGAATAGTTTTCTTTTACTACTTGGCTAATAGTGCCATTCTTGTATTCGAACCTTCAGGAACTGGGCTTCTGATACTTAACACCCTCAGGGACTACAAGGGAATGAAGAGATGCTAGTGATAGACGTTGTAAAACAAGGACTCCAATGTTTCTCAAATCAGATCAAATGCCTTGTTCCCTAGAAACACCACTCATTATCCAGGTCCTGACTACTTAAGTAACAAGATTTTTAATGAAGGAGAAAAACATCAGATAAAGCTTTACAAGGAAAACAGGTTAACATTCTCCAAATGGCATTGTAGCACACCAACTGTTGTGCATCTTTGAAATACTCAGAATTTCAGCTCCTCTTCCAACTTCTTTGCCTAAGCTTTCAGAGCCTGGCCTTCTGGGTCCGTAGCTGCATATTCTTCAACAAAAGCTTTTGGGAAAATGCCCACTTTCCCGTTGCATTCTCCTTCCAGCCATTCATCATTCACTAAGGTGGAAAGGCGGAAAAATACATGTCATTTTCTAGAAACAGGGTAGGGGAATCATCATATTCAAGTTCTTTATATGTGTTTTGATCTGAGGTATGTCTTGCCTTACAATGATCTGATACAAAGGTGACCTAGATGTGAGAAAGCAAATACAGGAAATAGTCAATAGGACAGTCTTCAAGAGGCAACAGAATATTAATGTGGGATAAAATGAACAAGATGCTAGAGAGTAATGCAAATAAGATGGAAAATTGGTTCAACTATGTGAATAACCTTATGCAGGTTGCCCCATTCCATTGGCCTTAATTTCCTCAATTAAATGTGGCTGTTAGACTAGATAATCTCTAAAGTCCTTTTCTAGGTTCACATTGATGAGGCTAAGAAATGAGCAACAAGTCTGTTGGAGTTTTTTTTTAAGTTGTTAAAAACCTGTGTGATCTGGTGTTTGACTAGTAAAGTTTTTCTGTCTAGTTATACTAAGATTTAAATTTATGGCTGCAAGAAAGTAAAAAAAAAAAGAAAGAAAACATTGGTTCTCAACCAACACTGAAGATTTCAGATCAGTAGTCATGTTTATATGAGAAAAATTACATTTTATTGCTGACAGATGCCAAAAAGAAAGTTTTTGGTTTAGCTTGATGAGATAACCCCTTCTAATCAATACTAACACTTACACTTCATTACCTTTGGGATCTAGGTTGTAGGCTCCCCCAGTATTCTTTTCATTGCTCATTAAATCAATGGAAGTTCTAAGACCTACCTCGATTTTTTAAAAAAAATTTTCATCTTTTGCTTTATATCAGAATTTCTCCAGTATTTCTCTTTCCACTGCCCTCCCAGGAGCTATCCCATATAAAAGTATTTTTAGAGGGAGATTTTTTTAAAAGTATCAGTAAAACTGATGAATACATACAGAAAAAAGTTTGAAAATATGTGCGATGTACCAAACAGATGGACTTCTCACTTTATGTTGAATCCTCCTTAGCAGTGTTCTACTAAAGTTCCAGTACACAATACAGGTACTTCCTGACTTAGAAATACCTACTATTTCTATCTTATGTGAACAGCTTAGCTGGGCACTGATTTCTCCATTACTCCTAGTATGGCTGCTCTAAGTTCTGTCTCCTGCCACAAAAACATGGCAGCACCTAAACAGTCTTGGTCCAGTTTCACCACCTCATTAAACTAACATGGCACTAAAAAGTGCCCTCAGATGCCTAGTCCTCATCATCTTGTCTCTCTGGAGGCTGTGTATATGCGCTGTACTCAGTCTTTCTCTCCTTTATCCCTACTTCCCAGCTGAGTTCTATCTCCAACCATTTTCCACAATCCAGAAGTCCAGTATTTTAAAGTAGTAAGGGATTTCTGAAGCCACCTGTCCAATCCACCCACCATTTCCACACACGCCCAACAAATGTTGATGCAACTTTGGCTTGAAGATCTCCAGCAAGGTGACTCCATGATCTTTCAAGGTGAACCATTCTATTTTCGGACAGCTCTAGCTCTAGAGAGTTTTTTCCTGAGAAGGCTTTTTTGCAACTTCTCCCCATCGTTCCCAGTTCTGCACTCAAGGTCCACAGAACAAGTCTAATCCTTCCATATCACTTAAATACCTGTCTTCTCCTAAGTCTTCCACCTCTCCCTCTTTGGGTTACATTTGTTAAGAAAAAATATCATAGCATCATTTTCAATAATGCACCGTGAGCATCTCAATAGAGCACCGTGTGCTTCGGACCACCAAAACAAAACAAACAAAAAACCAAGAAATAATGATGCCAGGTATACATTCCCGCCCCTACCCCACCCCTAAAAAAGGAAAATCAGAGATGGAGGAGTTGAAGCCTTTAGCTCTTTCAGCATCTCCACAAAAGTATCAATTTAAATCTGCTTTTCCTTAGGATCAGTGTTCAAATTAAGCTCATTCAAAATTGTTGACTTTCTGTTTTAGTTATTCTGCACATTCAGCAGCCTTCTCTATACAAGATAAAGACCTTGTGGTATTGTGAATAGAGAGCTAGCCTCAGACCCAAGCAGCAAGTTGGCATAGTGGGGGTAGGTGGGGGGGTAGAGCACAGGATTTGATATCACGAAGACCCAAGTTCAAATCTTGCCTCAGACAATATTTCTGTGACCTCGGGCAGGTCACTAATCTACCTCCCTTCTGTCCCAGTTTCCTCATCTGTAAAGTGATAACTAATAACACCTATTGCAAAAGGTGAATGGGGATGAAATGAAATAAAACACGTGCTTTGCAAACCTTAAAGTATGATGTAAATGCTAGCTTTTAATAATAACCTTTCAACGTCCTGCTCTGCTCTTGTCCCATAAATTACTAATCTGCATATTAGTAGAGGGAGTTTCCCCTCTCATGTTCCCTAAACAAATGAAAATAGAGGTGCAGACCCCAAAACCCCACAGATTGTGGAGTTGCTCTAAGAAATACAGTGTTTACAACCTTACAATTGTACAGTTTTACATAGCTTTTAATTGTATATAAATATAATTTTAGCAACTTTAATATTTCTACAAATTACAGTCTTTCGATGTGGTACTGCTTCTCAGAGTACCAAGTCTATCCCCACTTCTCTTTAATTCTTGTCCACGCCTTCCCATCAGAAAGAAGCCACCCCAGGGGCCGGTCATCTTCATATGCCAAGCATACTGGCACACCATTCAGGATGTCTGCTTGTTACCCTTTGCCCTTGACACTGATCAAGCACACCTTTTCTGAGAATATATTTCCTGACCGATATGTTTTAATGACAAGTTTAGCTCTGTGAAATGGGTTGCAAGAGATTTGTAACCTGGTCTGGAATCCCAACTTTAGGAACACTGCCCCCATGTCAATAGAGGACTAACTATAATTTTTAGTAACTGCCCAGTAAAAGTATTGGGATTAAGAGGAAAAAGTTGGTGAGGTGTAAATGAGAGGAGGGAACTGGTTTCTTTTAATTTTTTGATGACTCAATATAATTGGTTTCCTTTATAAATATGTTTATTGTATTTAATGCTTTTAAAGACATGATTCAGGGAAGGGGTCCATAAGATTCACCAGAACTGCCAGGACACACAAAAGATTAAGAACCCCTGATCTAGGGACAATACCCCTAATTCTACATTTCAGACCATTCTACATCTTATTCATCTTATTCTCAAAGCTAGAAGGGCTTTGAACCCAGGGATGGACTGTAGCAGCTCTCAGGACCGGCCTTGCTAAATTCAGAGGTTCCTCATGCAGTAGGCTTCTACTGCCCCAATAACTCTTGAAGAGTACTACCCACTACTCTTCACCACATGTACGTAATAGATTAAGACTTAAAAAATACCAGCAGCAGTAGGAGTAGTAGCAGCAGCAATAATAGTATAGTAGTAGCAGCAGCAGCAGCAGTGGTAATAGTAGCAATAGCCTTTCAATACAGGTAATCTGAGTAACACTCCCATTTTACAGAAAAGAAAAAAGGTTCAGAGAGGTTGTTTTTGCTCATATTCACATAGCCAGTAAATGGCAGAAGAAAATTTGAACCGTGGCCTCTGGAGTCCAGCTTCAGTATGCTTGTCACTTGCTGATACTGCCTCTATCTCCATGATTTCATCTGTGTAGGTATATTCCCCATAAACATAAATCACCAAAATTTACCACCAGAAGCCAACCTTGTGATAAGTCTCTGAATTTAGCTAACTTGGTCCTTGGAGAGCAGTCACTTGCTACAAAGGGCAAAGATGCTGCTAGGCCTTTTAGTCCATCAGCTTTCTCTCTGAACAGTATTTAGTTTTAGACAAAGTCCTTCTGAGAGTATGAAGTGATGAATACCTTTCAGCCTTACAACAGCCCTGTGAAGTAGATACTACAAGCATCCTTGTCTCCATTTTACAGATGGGGAAACTGAGGCTGAGTAACCTCAGCCTTGGCTCTGTATGTTCTGTATCACTGTTCCTGCTCCTTTTTCAACTTGTGTATCCCAAAACTTCCTAGGCTTTTGTGGGCTGATCTGGGCCTCTGGCTTCACAGTCTTCAACCAAATCTTTCGGGAAAATGTCTCAGCGGTTTCGCCTATGAAATGAAGGGGTTGGGCCAGGAGTAGGCCTCCAAAGTCCCTTCCAGCTCCAGATTTGTGAACCCAAGCCTCTCTGGCTCTGTCAGAGGAAGAATTTCTGACCCCTTGCCTCTATGGCTGCGTAGTCAACTTCTCGTTTTGTGCACCAATTGCTTCCTATCTGTTCTCTAGCTCTTTGCATAGTCAGAGAATGACCACCAGGGAAGGCAGGGGTGATGCAGATCAAACCTGCTGTTTCTCTACTTCATGATAAAACTTTATCAGAGATGAATGTCACTGGTTGTTGAGAATATTTTCATCTGGGAAAGAAGTTGGAGCTAATGAAGAGCCCCCAGACCATGAGTCCTGCCACTTATTGGCCATATGACCTGGGCAAGTCACTTCATATCCCTGGGTCTTAGATTCCTTACGAGGATTGGACTAGATTCTTTCTAGTATCTCTCTTCCAACTCTATGAGTCGACATAACTAGAAGTTTGCCTGAAGATTAATTTGTTTAGTACTGTCTAGGCACTTGTCTACCATGGATAGTTTAGTATTAACTATATAATCATGGGATAAGGACTTTCAATCAAGGCATTGGGAACACAAAGCCAACTTGCCTTTTGATAACACCAGGATCACATCTCCGGCTAGAAATTCCAGGTCCTCTGGTTGTGAAGCTTCATAATTGAATAGTGCCAACACTTGGTTTCCTTCTTTCTGTTGAGGTTCTGTCACATGGCTATTATGATTTTCTTTTTTCTCTGGTACTTCTGGAAAGCCTTGGTCACCCTGCAATATCGAAGGTTTCATTTACCTCAGCTTTTGAACTTATGTGATTGTATCTCACTAAAAAGAAAACTGACCATTGAACTTCAGTGGTAGTACTTGGGACACCAAGTCAAAATGGCGGGTTGGTTATGATGAAAGGGAAGTGACTTGAGGGCCAGAAGCTTAAAAAAACACAAAAGTCATTGAAAGTATTTCATTCCTGTCACCATTCTACAAAGTATGCCAGTCTGTATGTGGTATATGGTTAAAGGGGCAGATAGTTTCCTGAGACATAGTTTAAACCAACATTGGAAACACCAGTAGGGCCAAAAATATTGGACTTTGTCAGAAGTTCTAGTTTCTAATCCTGAAGGATTCATAGGCAGATGTGAGCATGTGCCACACAGAATGAGAGGGTACAGATGGGTTGCAGTCTGTACCAGTGGAAGGAGTACTGACCAATTCCAACCACAGATCATAATAATTCACATTTATGGAGCACTTGAAGGTTTATAAAATGCTTTGCATGGATGGCCTTATGTGATCCTCACAACAACCCTGTGAAGTGGATGCCATTGTTATCCTCATTCTACAGATGTGGAAACTGATGGTCAGAGAGGCTATATCCTTACATCACAACTCTGAGGGGTTGTGGTCAAAAGACAGGTAATGAAAAGGCCTAGGTAAAAGTCTTCTCAATTTTAGGAGACCAGGATTTGCTTACTCCTGGGGTCTCAACTTGTGCCATTTACATTCAACTGGGGAAGGAAACTAGGTCCAAATAATAATACTTATTTTATCAGGTTAATTTTCCAAGCTTATGAATAGCCAATGAATAGCTTGTGTACTATTCTGGTATCTTTTCTATGCCAAGGGAAAGCAAATCAGGACTCTATACACATTGAGTGCTCCCCACCCCCCATGGCAAACTTACAGGACAACACAGACAACAGTCATGTGGAATCGGCAGCCACGGATAGGTTACTATTTGCATCATGGGAAAGAACAATCAATATCCATAATTTCACAGATTTATTCAATTATTGGAGTATCATTTGCCACATTTATCCTCATGGAGCTCCCTCCTTCACCATCCCCAGTGTTTAATCTATTTCTTCCCACTTCGTATCCTTTATGAAAAATCTGCCTTTTTAAAATGTCTCCAAATCAGCTCTTCCAACATCTTTTGGGGGCAAAAGGTGAAGGATAGAGGAAGGAAAAGAAAGAAGGGACTTGAGAAAGGAAATCTTTCCTTTAACACTGTTGAAACCTGTTTCCAACTCTCCAGCTGGCATAGATCTGGTAGAATATATTAGTATTTTCCCCTACCTGGTCTTCTACACTTATTCCTAGTCCCAGCTATAGCTTTCAAGTCATAGCTCTTCAGAGCATTTGTTCACATATTGCAATTTTTCTAGGCAAGAATAAATGCAAATTCTATAAGCTAGAAATGCAGACAAAAAAAATAGATAGTGGGAAGAGAGTTGGCTTAGCTTTCTCAACAGCAACTTCAGTCTCTTAGACTGAGGAGGAGTTGGGTGTGTGGCCATCAATGGATAGTAGACCACTATAACTCTATATCTGGAGCTACAGTCCTGGGTGGTTTCCTCACAACTATGCATGAACTGGAGATGTTAGCTCTCTCAAATATTGTAAGGACATCATGAAAAAGGAAACTGTCCTACTGAAGAGCCTGAAAATGGTTGTGCTTGGTTCATCTAGTCAAAATAGCAAGTTAGCTTTAATTGAAAGGAAATGGCTTCAAGGTTATGTAGTCTTTTAAAAAAAAGGCACTTTCAGGAATTTGGTTCTTGCCACCTTCCACAAAGAATATAAGCTAGGACCTAGTTATGGGGGCAGGTAGGCTTTCCAAACATATGAGTCACAGGTTGACATCAACATTGGAAACACCAGCGGGGCTAAAATGTTGGTCCCTATCATGAATTCCAGTTTCTAACCCCTGGAGATTCAAAGGAGAATACAGACAAGAGTCACAGAAAAGGAGAACATGTGGATAAAAGAATTGGGACCTGCCCCATTGGGGTAAATACTCCCAGTATTGAAAACATAGATGCATCAGAATATGAGGGGGAGAGAGAGAGAGGAAGAAAGAAAAAAGGGAAGGAGGAAGGAAGAGAGGGAAGGGAGGGAGAGAGGGAGGAAGGAAGGAAGGAAAGAGGGAGGGAAGGAAGGAAGGAAGGAAGGAAGGAAGGAAGGAAGGAAGGAAGGAAGGAAGGAAGGAAGGAAAGGAAGGAAGGAAGGAAGGAAGGAAGAAAGCTCTGCCTTTTATTGGCCATTTCACCTTGGGCAAATGAGCTCATCTCTCTTGGTCTCAATTTCCCTACTGTGTAGTCCTAACCCTTTCTTGGACACATGGTCAAAGGACAAAAATGGAAACTGTTCCAACCTTTACTCCTTGACTTTGCTGCAGATTTACTTTGTGATTGTAGGTGTCAGTTTATCTTAAAGGTTATAGATTAACTTGCCCCTGTCCTCTGGGGTCAGTGATATCTTTGTCTTGTGAAGAACTCACTATTATCTTCCTCCTTCAAGGAGTTCTGTCCTCATGTCTGGACTTGCCAGGGACTAGTAGTCATAGTCATGTCACCACCTGATGGTGGCACAGTGGGGAAGAAGGAAACATCAGTGAATTTGGAATCAGGACCTGGAATCCAATCCCAATCCTACTACTTACTACTTGTATGGGAAGTATTGGGAAACCACTAGATTTGTCTGGGCTTCAGTTTCCTCATCTATAAAATGGGGAGGGAGCTGTACTTGGACTTTTTTTTAAGCTTTTACCCTAAAGCCTATGATCCTATGCAAAAGGGTGAGAAATTATTGTCATTAAGCTCATCTTCAAGTTATTTGTGGCCATGAAATATGGTGGTGGTTATAAAAAATAAAAAGTCAGATATGTCAACTGATATAAGGGAACTTTGAGTTTTCAGTAGACTTTAAGATTTCAATAGGAGTGAAGAGTGGTCTGGTCAAGCACTTGAGATCATTGAGCTGCAAAGGATTAAGCTGATCTGTTTGCTGGGTTCACCATTAATGTTTAATGCTTAGAATAGATGAGATGATAGAATAGATGAAATGAATAGGTGAGATCCTTAGATTAAAAGGCCACCATGTTGGCTTTCAGTCAGTTTTCAGTCATGTCCAACTCTTCATGATGCCATTTGGGGTTTTCTTGACAAAGACACTGGAGTGGTTTGCCATTTCCTTCTCCAGCTCATTTTACAGAGGAAGAAACTGAGGCAAACAAGGTTAAGTGACTTGCTCAGAGTCACCAAACTAGTAGGTGTCTGAGGCCAGATTTGAACTCAGGAAGATGAGTCTTCCTGACTCCAGGCCCAGCATTCTATCCACTGTATCACCTAGCTGCCCCACACCATGTTGCCTAAGGAGAAACAAACCCAGCCATGCTAGAAAAATCAAGTGAAAGCTCCCATGCAGATCAATAGAGAGATCAGCCCGTGAGTACTCACTACATTTCAAGCCTGAGTGAGATAGGAAACTCAGTCTCAAAAGGGGGGAAGGGAAGAGAATAAGCATTTATATAGCATTGTATACTGTGGGCCAGGCACTGTGCTAAGTGCTTTACAAATATTAGGCTCACCCTGCTATCTCCATTTACATTTGAGGAAACTGAGGCAAACAGGTTACATCTTGCAGCTAGTAAGTGTCTGAGCCCAGGTTTGAACTCAGATCTTGCTGACTCCAGGCCCAGCCACCTAGCTATCTAAAAAATGTCAATAGACAGGTTGCTCTTAGAGGTTATTTCTAATGGAAAGCAATAGAGACCAAAAATAACGATCCTACTTAAAAGATGAGTGAATAGAATTATGGAAACACAACCCTAGGCCTACTCACCACTGTGTATTCACACCAGAGAGTTAGGCAATAGTTTTTCACGTGGCTCCACACATTCTTCATGTTTTCCTCTGAAAGGGTGATGAGGCCCTTGTCATCCCCAGGCCGATAGCTGTTAAGGGTTCAGAAGTAAAGGGAGAGGAGATACTGGCACCAGAAATGATCATATCTATGCCCTAGTCACTGTTAGTCCTCTGCCTGGTTACTCGCTTACCCTCCCCCGATCTCCAGCTTAGCTGGATGACCCTCCATCCACAGGGACGCACCTCAGCTTAGTGTGCTTGGGGAGCAGCTCCAGTTTTTTGCACACCATGTCCAAGATCTCACTGTAGGGAAGCCCAGGACAAATCTCTATAGCCACTGTGTACTTGTAGTGCACTTTGAGGGTATACGGTGTGGGAACACTGAGCTTTAGGTCCTATAAGGAGGTCAAAACAAGAGGTGAACACCAGAGGCAGATCTCTTGACAATGCCCCTAAGGCACTAGTAGTGACCTCCCCAGGGAGCTGTGGAATTGTGGCTCTGGACCCTTAGAGTTCATCTCCTCCAGTCTCCTATACCACGTGGGAATTCTTTCTCTGATAGAACCAGGTACATAGTCAGTACTTAAATATTTATTGACTGACCATCCAAGAAGCCAAAGCCTACTCCTTTGGGAAATGTGTTTGCAAAGGGATGGGTAGACTTCCAATCCAAAGACTTGATTTGGTCAGGAATACTGTGTGGGAACCAAGAAGCCTGTGTTCTAATTCTGTGTCTGACATTAAGTCATTATTTGGCCTTGAGAAAGACATTTCTTTCCTGGCTCCACTTCCCTCATCTGACAAATGATGGGGGTCGACAAAAATGGTTTCTAAATTCCCTTCCAGCTCTAATGTTCCAGGAGGCTAGGACTGGCTTTTTATTCCTCCCACTCAGCCCCTGTCCTAGAAAGCCAGTACTGGTCCCCATAGCAAACTGGCCTGACCTCCCAGACAAAACCGTAGAAGGAAAAACCTTACTCTCTGCTCTTCTGGTTGCTTTGTGCCTAAATGGAGCAGGGAAAGAAAGAAGAAGAAAACACAAGTGAATGAATTGTAGCTGGCTAGCATCTATCTCAGGCACAATGCAAGCTTCAGTGAGTGCTGGCTATTTATTCAGGAAGGCAGGCAGTCTTTATTTCTGATAAAAGTCTTCCTCTCTATTTTACCTTCAGTGGTAAATATAGAAGACAATTGTTTTTGAAGCTTAAGCCATCATGCAGGTATGCTTCAGCGTAAACACTTGATTGAGAATTAAAGAAAGTGGGCTCAGCTCCCTGCTCTTCCGCTAACTACTCTTGTGGCTCTGGGTAAGTCATTTACCTCCCCCCCATGCCTCTTAGGGTCTCTGTTTCCTCATTTATAGAAATGAGACAGTTGGATTAGATGATTTCTTCTTTGCCAGCTGACAGCTGTCCTCCCTCTGACCTCTCCCTGACTTAGTCCAAAGAATTGAAGATCTAGCTAGCTAGCCACAATGTAGCATAAAGAGCTTTGGATCTGAAATGAGAGGGTCTGGGTTCAAATTCTTGCTCTGCCCCTTACTCCCTATGTGGCCATATCCTCCCCTGTGAAATGGGCTTCTAATATTTCTAAGGATGCTTTTTAAATGCAGGATCCTTGTTCCCCCAAATAACCTTTAAGGTTCTTCCTCTATGTTTTGTTTTGTTAGAAAAGTTTCCCAAAGTGGTACAAAAAGGATAGATAAATCTACTCTCCTGGACAGGAACATAAGAGTTATATCGATGAGTATTAATGGATTCTTCCAGCCCTTCAGAGTTCAGAAATTCCGCTTGCTCCTCAAGTTTCCTACAGGAAGCATTAAGCCCTTTTCACCTCAAAAATGCCAGGATTTTACCCTAAATATACAAGTAGATCCTGCCTCTGCTCTCAAAGAACATACAGGTAGCAGATATTTAACATCAGGCTGGCTTGGGAATTCAAGGAATTTCATAGAATTGTAGATGGCTATCTGAAAATGACTTGCCTGTACCATTAGTCCAACCTCTTATTTAACAAAAGCCCAGAGAGGTAACTTGCCCAAGATCACACAGGTAGTAGATTACAGAGTCAAGTTTTGATCCCAGGGTTCCCCCAACTCCAAATCCAATGTTCTCTCTGTTATGCTAAGTTATACCTAGCATCTGGAAATCAGGCAAGCACATATTTTTTAAGTGCCTACTATGTGCTAGGCATTATGTTCTAGTGAATTAGGAGAACCTAGAGTTCTTTGTCAGGACTGGCAGGGAGATAGGCAGGGCAGCTGCCATATTATGATTTGGAGTTGGGGCGGGAACTACTTCATCTAAAAGAGAAGAAGGTGCTGGTTCTGTATATTCATGGGATATTGTGAACATTACCTGGGATTGCCCCCACCCACCCACCCTGGAAGAGGGTGCGTTGGATGCATGGCTGGCTCAAAATCGAGCAGAAAAGGTCAGTGTAATTGTTAGCCGTTGGTACCTTCAGTGCTTGGAAAAAAACATTTTCCAAGAAAGTCACTAACCTGGGAGCATGTGAGGCTGTTCAGGAGCTCTGGAATTAGGTGGTGCTGGAATATCGGAATCTGGAGAGGTTTCCTCCTGGACATGAAAGTGAGTGATGGTTCTGTAGTTAGAGTTTTAAGTGATAGAAATTGGAGATTCTCTTGGCTAATGAGACCAAATGGAAGTGATTTCAAGAAATAGTGGCAAGAGGACAAAAACTCGGAAGGGAGATGGGCAGATTTAAACTGCAGAAAACTGCAAATGAGGCAGAAACAAGGACCAGAAACTCCATCAAATGCTGCCTGCTGGGGAGGGGAGGAGGGTGAGGGGACTAATTCAGCTGCAGCCAGAGACATCTGGTGTGCAACAGATTCCACCCCTGTTCCATGGAGGTTATGCACACAGTTCTCAGGAGCAGAGGCCCAGCCCTGTGCAAAAGAAAACACTGCCACACGTTCTCAGAGGGTGCCCAACTTGTCAGAGCATGTTCACATTGTGAAAATACTAGATACTAGATATTCACATATCTAGTATCCAGAGACAAACTGATTCCTATGGTAATGTCAGTGCCTCAAGGGCCCAGGTAGTCTTCTGTTTGGTCTTTCTATCCCCAGCACCTAACAAATGCCTTCAGTGTTGTAAATGCTTGATACAAGCTTGTTGAATGGACAAAAGACAGATTTATTGTATGATCTAAAAAAGTCAGAATCCACCCTATGTCGGACTGGTTTGCAAAGCAATTGAGAGACCTAGTGAAGCCAGAGGGGAAGTCAGGAACAACAGGAGAGCAGGCCTGCCCCAGAGGATGAGTCAAATAATGCTCTTTTTCATAGGGGCTTCCAATATGATACTACTATGAGGTAAATTTCTCTTTCTCTCTCTCTCTCTCTCTCTTCTCTCTCTCTCTCTCTCTCTCTCTCTCTCTCTCTCTCTCTTTTCCTCTTTCTCTCTCTGTTTAATGTATTATTCTGGCATCTTTCATACAGCAGACATGTATTAACCGCCTAGTATGTGACAAGCGCTATCCCTGGTGCTGGAGAAACAGACAAAAGGGAACAGTCCCTTCCCTCAAAGCTCTTACATTCTATTGGGAGGAAACAATGTACCTACAGATAACTGTAGAAAATTGGTTTTTGTCTGTCCATTTTTGAAGAGGACTGAAGTAATTACAAGTTAATTTTTTTTGAAGGGAGATAGTGCATTTGTAACTAAAGGGACAGGATAAGAAAGGAGCTTATGTAAGAGCTGGCATCTGTACTAAGCCTTGAGGGAAACTGGAAGTTCTCAGAAGTGGAGGTGAAGAAGGGGGCTTTCCAGGAATGGAAGACAGCCCGTGCCAAGGCAGGGAGCCAGCTTGGCTGAAACATGGAATGTATGAAGGTGAGCCACGCACAGTAACCATGGAAAGGTAGGCAGGAACCCTATTGTGAAGAGTTTTGAATGCCAGACAAGTTTGTATTTTATCCTAGAGGCCATAGGGAGCCATTGGAGCTTCTTGAGCAGGGGAGCAACACAGTCAATCCCGTGCTTTAGGAATACCAATTTTGCAGCTCTGTGGAAGACTTAAGTGGCAGAGGGGACAGATGAGAAAGGAAGTAGGCTGCTCATTTTTTTCCAAGTAAGAATCACAAAAATCCCTTCACCAAAGTCCTACTCTGATGATGTCTCATGGCATGTGGATGACCTGGGATCGTGCCAATACAATGTGACCTGTAGTAGGTCCAACCTGACTAAAAAAGATTTCCAATACAGAGCTGGTAACAAGACTGTAGGGTCAGATTAGGTAGATTCGACAGCAGAAATCTACAGGTCATTTATCAGATAATGAATTCTTTAGCCAACAATTCACTAAGAACATCTACTAATTCTATCTGCACTGAAATCACAGATCTTTGAAGTCCTGAAAAAAACCCATTACAATCACAGGGAAATCTGGGAAGGGATAACCATGCTATAAATCTGTGAGACACCTAATCCAAAGCCTCATACTGGTGAGCATTCAAGTGGGTACCAAAGCCCTGTTTGGCTATATACTACGCGTGTGAATCAATAAGATGAGAGAGAAGAAGGTTGGTAATACATTCCACTAAGGTCCCCAGTTTCTGTTCTGTATTTATTGAATGCCTGTTAGCTACAATGTGTACATTTATCTCCTCCCTCCTTGCCATGCAGCTGTCTTTAGAAGCAAGAGTGACAAGGGTTAAGTCTTCTGGGCCCAAGTGTGGTTTTACCTGGTTTTGAAGTTGAGAATTGATCCGGAGTTCAACAGGTTCCAGGTAATTACAAGGGACAAGTCCTTTCTTCAGCATAACAATGCAGACATGAAAGAAAGAAGGCAGAGCCCTCACACCCACATCACAAAGCAAGGAAATCCGGGGAAATGGCTCTGAAATCGCCCTTTGGTTTGTTTGGGATCAAGGGGGCGGGGGAGGGGGCAGGGGAGAAGGGGGAGCAGACATAGCTTTTCAGAAAGCTCTGGGATTGAACAACAAGGGTCCATGTAAACAACACAGCCCCCCTGCCACACTGTGTACCTTCCCATTGAACATGACCGTGGCCCAGTTATCATTTCCTTTCTTCAGGACAAAGACAATATTTCCTGGCAAGACTTGGAGTTCCTCTGATGTCTCAGGTGTGAACTCAAATAGCACCCGATGTGCTTCTCCTTCCAAGGCCCTGAAGAGAGTTAGACCAGAAACAGAACTAGAAATTCTGGTCCCTGGTACAAGCAACTGAGGGAAGGGAGTGGAGGGACCTTGGACTTCAGGATAGAATTAGGGACACTAACCTGTTGAAAGCAGACATCCTGCCCTTCCTGAGGAGATTTCTCCTGGGGTGGGGGAGGGATGGAAGGGGACAAAATAGAGGAGGAAGGGGTGCACTTGGGACACAACCATCGTGTAGAGGGGTGGAGGGGAAGTACCATCTGGAAGTTCCTTATTTTAACTCATTATTCTTGCTAATGGGGTAGCTAAGTTCCTTTTATTTGCTGATAGAGAACAAGTCTGTCAGCACCCTCTAAATTTTGACAAAGGCCTGGGTTAGACATAGGAGCCAATCAGTCCTCCGGGTCCACTCTTATCCCCTTACTGGGTTTCCAGTTTTCCTTGTCTTTCCTAACCAAAGCACCATAATTTTCCTCTCAGGACCCTCCTCTGTTTTTAGGTTCTTCTCAGCCCTTTTTGTTTGTAGACATTTTGCTCATTTAAATCCTAATAACTTCTCCCCGGTCTTTCCCTGTGCCCTGGCCTCCTTAGTGTCAGGTTGGTTTGTTCATTTTGAGTGGGAATTCTTAAGGGGTGGGTTGTGGCATACTTTGTCCCTTATTCTGTGGGAGAATGGCTTTCTTTTCTCAAGTCCTTCCTGTAATTTCTTTCTTCAGAAAGTATCCTACCAATTCCAAATCTAAAACCCACACAGGAAAGGGGAAAAGTGGAGTTGCATTCTTTCTTCCCACTCTTTGCCTATCATTGCAGAGACTTTCCACCCCCTTCTGCCGATCTGGGCTTAGCCCTTTGCTGACCTCATCTCATAGGTGCTGAGAAGAATGCTTCACCCACTAGAGTGGTGGTTGATGGCACTAGATGTATTTTTTCCCAGTGTTCAGCTATGAATTTTGACAATTTCATCTTCCAATGTTCTAGGCACTGGATGCTGGTGTTGGACATCCTACCAAAGACAACAGATCTCCCTTCTCCACAATACCATTCAATTTTCCCACAACTACTTTGAAAAAAAAAAGTTGGATCTAAGATCAGAGTCATACCTAGGGCAGAGCATCTGTGCTTTGCCCCTAGGGTGCTGAAATTTAGAGGGTGCTTCTTCCCTGGCCTCAGTAGTTACACCCCAATTGAGGTCTCCTCTCTCCATTCCAGGTGCAAAAATTTCTGGTAACAGCTCTGTCTGAACTCCAATAGAGTTCTATTTGATTTTAATATTTTTCTCAGCCTTATCATCTTTACTCTCCAACAATACATATAAAGTCTACTTTGGGACTTTGAACTGAAGTATTCTCTTGGTTTAAGTATTAGTGCTAGTACTTACTTGAAGATTTCTGGTGTTTTGGGTCTTGGGGGAGGTTCAGCCATCTATTGAGAGTTAAGGAGAAAGGAATAATAATAAATAAAGGGAAGGAAAAATAATAATAAAGAAACAAAAATATTTAAATTAATAAAAATTCATTCATTCAAATTTACCAAGTGCTTCCCTCATAACAACTATGAATCAGACTAAAAGAGAAAGAAGAGAGGGAGAGAAAAAGAGAAAGCAAACTACTAATGATAATGCGAATATTTTTCAGTCCCAGGAATCCACAGAATGCATTTTTGACTTGATCAGGAAATTCCCTAGGGGAGAGAACAGCACTCTGAATATACACTGGAAGGCATTACCTCCTATGAACTTTTCTTAGTAAAGGCTTAACCAAGGCTGGAACCAAGTTGAAGCCAAATCCAACTTCCAGAGAAGTCAATTGTCACAGACCTGCATGATTCCCTAGAAATGTCATTTTGCTGGTGACCCTCTGTCCCTTTTTCGAGCAAGTCCCAGGAGTTTTGTTCGGAAGACATCACCTTATGCTATTTCTGAGTGTTCAAGGTAATTCTTGGAAAGAACCTTCACAGAATCACAGGATTTGAGAGTTGGCAGGGACCTGGCTCCCATCTAGTCCAACAATACAAGAAAGAAATCCCCACTAGAACATACCCAGCAAGTGGTCAGCCAGCCCCTGCTTGAGCACCCTCACCACCCTCAGGCCCGTTCCACTTTGGGATGGCTCTCATTGTCAGCAAGGTGCCTAAATTGTCTTCTGTGCAATTTGCAGTCATTGTTGCTGGTTCCACCTTCTGGGACCAAACTGAAAAAGCCTAATCTCTCTCTCACATGACAGCCCTCCAAATATTTGAAGATAGCTTTCAGGACTCCCCCTCCCCAAGTCTTCTCTTCTTCAGGTTATTGCACTAATCCAAGCAGGATCAATCTTCCCATTGTAAATCACCTGACATCCTGATCCAGGTAAATTTTTCTTACTGCCTGATGGCCCCTTTGTCTGAGCTGGTATGTTTAGTTGAGGCTGATTACTCCTCTTAAAAGTTCCTCTATTATTCTTATTTGGCCTTATAAAATCATAGTTGTAGCTCTTTAGAGACCATTTAAACACTTGTTGATCTGTTCTATCTAAAATTTGCATATTGCCTTATGTTGCACAACAAGTTAATTGAGTTATCTTTGATCCTGACAGCAAACTTGAGAGGTAGGTACCACAGCTCTTATTATCCCTGTTTTACATATGAGGAAACTGAAGTCAGAGAAGTTAAGGGACTTGCCCATGGTCACATAGCTATCAAGTGTCAGGATTTGAACCTAAGTCTTCATGATTCCCAGTTGAACACTTTATCCACTATGCCTTGGGATATTTCCTGTCTTCCACCTCATTTACAAGTTGTAAAAAGAAACATTAAAAAGCCTCTCATTGCCTCCCTGTTCCCCTTCTCCCAGCCACTAGGCATTTGGCTTCTTTTCGTGTTAGTAATACTCTGATCTCTGATGGAGTGGGAGTGCCACCATGGTGGAGTGAGCCCTAGAAACAGACATGCTTAATCACAATGTGTATGTATGTCTACATATCATCATATATTCAGATGTCACTCCTCTGCTGGTTTAGAAAGAGGGTCTTCCTACTCCTAATATTCATTTAACTTGTCTCATTTCCCATTTAAAGCCTCTTCCTACACAACAGTGGTGTGCATTCCAAGCTCTTGGGTTATTCAGGTCACAATCAATCCTTCTATTTTACCTATGAGTAGGAGTAGAAATTATCCCTCCTGGGAGTGTTCTTGTTAAATCAACCACACAAGAACCAGGAGAACAATTTATACAATAAAAACAACATTGTAAAAACAAACAATCTTGAAAGGCTTAAGAACTCTGATCAGCACAATGACCAACCATGATTTCCAAAGACCCATGGATGGAACATGTTATCATCCACCTCCTGGCAGAGAGGTGGTAGACTCAGGATAGAGACTGAGACCTTTTTTTTTTCTCTAAATAGGGTCAATGTAGGAATTTGTTTTTCTTGACTCTATTTATTACAAAGGTTTTATTTTTCTTTTGTTTTCTATGGTGTGGTGTGGGGGAGGGGTAGAGTAGGAGGGAAAGAAGGTAAATTTTTGTTAAATGAAAAAAATTAATTTAAAAACAAAAAAAATTTTCTACACAATGTCTTCTGTGCTTTGTAAATGAGTCAGACCAAGAAGTCTCAGAACTTCCTCCCACCCAAGTGTTCGACAGATTCCCTTAATTACTCCTTGACAGGGAAGAACGGATTGGGAAGAAGAGACTCCAAGGAAAAGTCTTTTTTGTTCAACAGCTAATTTTCTAGAGAAAAGAGATAATAGGAAATGGCTTTTAGGGGAGGCAAGAAATAGATGACAAAGAAAAGCAAAGCCAAGATTCTTTTAAGCAGTGAATTCCAGTTTCAGAAAGATTCTAGATTAAGAATTTAGATGCTGCCTTCTCTTGGAGGTCAAGTGACATTTAAAGATTATGGAGATCAGAGAGTGCCTAGAAACATCAAGAAGTTGTCTTATGGGAGCTTTGAACCAAGAAATCTCTCCCATTTTGGACAACCATACACACGTTTACAAATGAAAAGAGGTTAGGGTTACCACACCTGGGGTTGCAGAGGGGCAAATCCTGAGAAACTGTCTTGATCCACTACAGATGCTACAACCTGAAACAGAGGAGGGGAGTATATGAAGATTCCACTATTCCATTGTTTTTCCTTCTTTTTCCTTGCCCTAGATTAATCGTCATTTATGGCTTCCCTAGGTATTTGGTTCTCACAGCAAGGATTTGGGTCACAGGCCTCACAGATACATATTTCAGTAGAGGAAGAAACAAATTCCCTTTGAATCCTAGCATTACTTTTTCTCATGGTATCTAGAAAAGCTGCACAGGCAGGTATTGGGGGCTCAGAGCTAAATCAGAGCAAACAATATTCAGTCAAATCTGCAAAGGTCAGAAATTCTTGGATCTGTTCAGTTATGCAATGCAAGTTTTCTGGCCAAAGGCTCACTCTGGCTAAATTTCATAGGATTTGAAAAGCCGAAAGGGCTGGTTTTAGAAGGATTCTAGTGTTTAGATTTGATCACCACCAGTTAAGTGAGTATTGCAACCCTAAGGTTGGGGAGATGGGGATTCTCTCAAAACCATCAGCATATTTGTTAAAGGGGTTTCAGAAAAGCATTCACAGTCATTATTCAGCCTGGCTGTTCTTCCTTCTCTTAGCTGGTCAGATAGCCATGGGATCTAACAGAAGGTAACTAATTTTTACATAATTTTAGAGAATCACAGGCTTAGAGGGATCCCAGTCCCTTCTAGTTCAATCAAAATAATCCACATTACAATATACACAACAAATAATCATCCAGCTTGTGCTTGAAGACATACAGAATGACAGGCAACTCACTGGCTAATGAGGTAGCCCATTCTACTTTTAGATAATTCTAATTATTATTATTTTTTTAATCTGGCCACTATCTGCTTCAGTAGGCATCTTTTTGGGGGGGGCCTAGGCAATGGGGTTAAGTGACTTGCCCAAGGTCACACAGCTAATAAGTGTTATGTGTCTGAAGCTGGATTTGAACTCAGGTCCTCCTGAATCCAGGGCCAGTGCTCTATCCACTGTACCACCTAGCTGCCCCTTAGATAATTCTAATTATTACTAGGAAGTTTTTTTGGACTCAGTTATTCAAATGAATCCATAATATCAATAACTGGGAGTTTCATTTAATGGTGCAGCCAGCCACTCACCCATGCCTGCTCATCCTTTGCAACTCTTGTCCATGTTCTCCCAAAAGTTCATTATAGGGGGTTCACCCAATGAGTTAAAGGCCTTCCTCACTTTCTCCTGTCTAAATCTGCTTCAACACAACTTTATTACTCCTAGTTTTACTTTCTGGGATTGAACAAGGCAAGTCTATCTCCTCTTCCACATGGTATAGACAGCTCTTATACTTCCTTTGAATCTTCTCTTCTCCAGGCTAAAGAGCCCCAGTTCCTTCTGCTGGTCCTCATGTGGCAGGGACTTAAGATCTGTCCCCATTCTGGTTGCCCTCCTCTGGATCTCTTCCAGCTGATCAATGTCTTTTATGTGATTCTCTCCGAGGCTCAGACTGGGAGGTAAAACTAAAAGGAACCTGGGGACCAGGTCCTAGGGTCCATCTGAGCTCTGAAATTCTGATTCGGTGATCCTATGAACCCTCATTTCTTGCAGATGAAGGCCCTTGGCTGTAAACGCATCCTTCCCCATCCCATCCAGAAGGATCACCCCACAGAAGAGTCCTTGTTCCCTCTTACCGTCGCTTTGCCCAAGTAATCCTTCTTGGCCAGCTGGGCCACTTGCTTCTCATTAGGTCTGAACAGTTTCCCCACGGGAATGACCACCGGCTCATACAGCTTCTGTTTCTAGGGTGCAGAAATCATATATGATGCCTACATGATCAGGTGGCAGAGCTTCTCTTTGCTGTGTGACTCAGCGATGAAGAAAGGCCACAAATTCTCCTCACCCTCATTCAGAGGCAGGGCCCAGGCATAATTCAACACCAAACTCCATCCCCAAGTCTTAGAGACATTCAGATCTGCTCCCAGCACTTATATTGATTTCTCTCCTTAACAATCCCTAACCTGTCCTAAACACATTGGTTTAAGAGAGATTCCTTATAAATGCAATTAAATTTTTTACTTCATCTTTAAACCCCATCAAGCCAAATCTGGGTCATTTCTACCACCACCATCCTCCCAACACCCAAATGGCTTTACTTCAAGCTCCAACACCTTTCCTCTTGTTATTCATCTTTTCACCCAGATCTAAAAATCCCCCTCCCCTCAACCACAATTTTATTTAACTGTTGTGGAGAAATTCAGAGAGACTTTGCCCCAAAGATCAAAGTTGGATTTACTTTTCCAAAGACCCAAGATTTTCTTCCTAACTCTGGAGAGAACAGCAAAACACTATGGATTTTTTTTCCGCACCTCACCTTTCATGACTGGTAGGATAGCTGGTCTCAGAGTCAAGAAGACCAAGTTTTAAGTATTGTCTCTAACACGTACTGAGTATGTGACCCAGGGCAAATCATGTAATGTCACAGTGCCCCTAGATTTCCTAAGTCCACAAGTTGTAGAACATGTACCAACCTGCATTGGTAGATAGAGTTTCCTCTTTAGGGAGCTGCCAATGCCAATAAAATCACAGGCCTAGTCCCTACCTCTTACATGGAGGATTCATTTTAATTTTAAAACTGAATACATTTTGTGAAATCAAATTGTTAGACAAATTCCTTGGCCCAAGAGCTCAAGTCACTATTTTCAAAGTTACTTGACCTTCACCTCCCCCAGAGTAGGAGAGAAGATCCCCTGAAAACCCCATCACCACCCTTACCCAGAGGAAACCTTACCCAGACAGCTTCCATAGCTTTGTCAATTTTGGAGTGTCTAGCTTCTGTCTTCATGCTCATGGCCAGTGCCAAGTGCTCCTCAGCTTTCTTCCATTCCTCTTTCTTGGCATGGATGAAAGCAATGTTATATAACACCTAGAAAACCGTTCAGTGTCTCCATTAGGACTGAGAGTACTTTAGACATAGGAAGCAGAGAAATAGGAATTTTGCCCAGATCTAGAAACAGAAAGTAGCCCACGTTGTTAAAAAGGACAAGTGCATCCCATACACGCCATTATGGAATTTTGGCCTCCACTGGGGGAAAGACTGAGTTACTGTGTCACCTGTGTCACACTTCAGTATAGCACTCAAGGTCGTGGAGGTCACCTGTTCCAGATCCTGGGAGGGACAACATCACTATCCAGAAATGAGCAGAATCAGCTTGAAGACCAAGGCCATAATTACAAAGGGAGGACAGGGGTGTGTAGAGATGCTATGACCAGTGAGTATGTTGATCCATAATTAATTAATCCAAAATTAAGTAATCCATAATTAATCCAAAGAAAGTCTGATATGCAGGAAGGCAAAAGAATCATCTTAATGATAAATCTCATTCAAAAGATGCTGAAAGGAAGCTGAAGGTCCTAGTGACCAACGTTGTTCTAGATTTTCCCTATCCAGTGGGCTCTGATTGACATCCTGGCACTAATGTAGCTCCAGGTCTGCATTTACAATGTCTGGGAAACCTACCAGAACAATAGACTGGGAAAACTATGAGATAGGGATTATAGCTGGGTTCTGGATCCTCCTCATGCCTTTTCTATTGATTACATTGGAAGTATGTTTGGCTGTAGAAAGACCCATTATCTTTTGGTCTCTGGCCTTCCTGAATTCTATGGTCATCACTACTGATTTGGGCCATTCATGTGGATGGCCAGTGAAAAATGAAAGAGAACTGCCCAAGCCCAAATCTAGGCCCACACCCAGCCCAGAGACTTCTCAAAAGTTCTCGCTCTGCCCCAGCTAAATGAATCTGGTAGAAGGGAGTAGTAGGTGCCTCAGACGTGGTGACCTGGCCCTAAGATCATCCCTATGGCTGAAAGCCTTAGTCACCTTCACCCTTTCCATCATCTCACCTTCGTTCCCCCGCCCCTACCAGCCCAGGCCTCAACCCTCTTCCATTTCCACTTCCCTCATCGAGCACAGGCTGGAAAACTAGGAATGTTTTTGAGGAGTTTCATGCAAAAGACAGGGAGTTGGTAGTGCCTTCCGTGTCTGGAGTCTTTGATTTAATATTGCTCAGCATTTAAAGCTTTTCACAATCTGGTTCCAGACTACATTTCCATAATTTTTCCAACAAAAGGAATTCCCATTATGACATAACAATAACACTAAATAACATGTATAAAGCACTTACATGTGTCAGATACTGCACTAAGTGCTTTACAATTATTATCTCATTTGATCCTCACAGCAACCCTGGGCGCTGTTATTATCCCCATTTTGCCATTTCTTTCTCCAGCTCATTGTACAGATGAAGAAACTGAGGCAGAGATTAAGTGATTTGTTTAGGGTTGCACAGCCAGTAAAGTATCTGAGGCCAAATTTGAACTCAGGTCCTCCTGACTCCAGGCCTGGTGCTCTATCCACTGTACCATCTAGCTGTACCAACTTATTGGTTGACATACCAGCAACTGACTGTCCAGCCTCTGCTTGAAGATCTCCATGGAGGGAGAACCCACCACCTCTTGGGGTAACCCATTCCACTTTGGTACACCTCCAATTATTAGGATGTTTTTCCTGAGATTGTCTAAATTGCTCTAGAACAGGGGTAGGGAAGCTGCAGCCTCAAGGCCACATGTGGCCCTCTAGGTCCTGAAGTGCGACCTTTTGACTGAGTCCAAATGTCACAGAACAAATTCCCTTAATGAAAAGATTTGTTCTATAAAACTTGGACTCAGTCAAAAGGGCACACTTGAGGACCTAGAGGAACACATGTGGACTTGAGGCCACAGCTTCCCTACCCCTGGCCTAGAAGGTCAGTTTTAACCCATCGCTCCTGGTTCTTCCATCCTTTGGAGCCAAAGAGTCTAATTGAGGCAAATCCCTCTTTTACGAGACAGCCCTTCATCACCCTTCACCCCCACCCAACCTTCATAATAGTCAAGGAGCTGGCCTTGGAATCTCAAGACGTGGTTTTTATTCCAGACCCAAACATTCTGTTAGCCTCTCAGCTGTCTGATTTATAAATGAGTCAGGATATTTGGCCTTTCTTGACTTCACAGGACTGGTCAAAGAGCACAAGAAAGTAAGTCAGTTAAGGGCTTTAAGTTCCTGGAATATCAACGTTATCTATCAATAGCAGGTCTCAGGATTTGGTGAGTTTCCCCTCCTAGGTGGCTGACTGCCTTGTACAAATGCCTGTGGAACGGCATAGTTGCTATGGTGGAGCTCTGGGCAAAGTCTGATTTGAGGGTGGAGGGGCGGGGGTAGGAAGAGCTGTGATGTTGGAGTTCTAAGCTCTCTCTCAAGGTCCATTTCTGCCATCTCCAGGGAGCAGCTGCCCTTTCCTAACATGACACATACTCCAGTGGAATTGATGGGACCAGCCTTTACTCTACATCTACGGAGGAAGGAGAACTTAGGGTCTAAGGAATCAGATATCATTTGGTTGCCCTCTCCAACCCAGTGGAGTAGCATTTCCACGAAGTTCTGTTTTGTTACCATCTTAGCCTAACCGTTCTCAAAGCTGCTGATTCTAACTAAGAAGTCAAGTCTTCTTGGCCATGGTGTGGTGAAGTTCACTTCCCAGCTCCAACAGCAGAGCTTGAGTCCAAAACATACATTCCCAGAGGCTCAGGCTGCTCCAGGAGGACCCTGAAGGATCTATTTTTAGTCCTGGTTAGAATCCGACATGGGAAATCTCAGTTTCTCATGCCTGAGAAACAAAAAAAAAATTTTTCTTGGAGATTCTTCTAAATAAAGATCATAGGATCATATGGAGCAAACTGAAAAGGACTTTAGAGATGAGCTCCTCCAACCCCCTTCATTATAATGAATGAGAAAACTGAGGACCAGAGAGGTTAATTAACTTGCCCAAGGTCACTCAGGTGATAAGTAGTAGAGCCTGAACACAGGTGCTTTGACTCCATACCCAGGGTTCTTTTCATTGTATTATACTACCTCTCATAGACCTTTATGAAAACTATTGATGTGTCATGATGATGAGCGGGTTGAAGGAAGCAAAACCATTTAGCTCTTCCTGGTAATTGTGATGACCTGTTATTCATGATGATGGACAATGTTACGGAGGCATGTGCTTGGAGTTTTCTGAGCAGTGGGGCAACGGGTTTATGCCAGGTGATCCATGGGAAGCCTTCTGACATTTCACATTTGAAATCACATGTGAAATCCAGGATTGTGGTTATGGGCTGTTAAACTTTAGAACAACACCTAACCCAGATGGGAAAGGAATCCCAATAGAACTTGACTTAGAAAATGGAAACCTGAATTCAAATCGTGACTCCAACAGTGATTAGCTATACCACTCTGGTGGACGTCACCATGATCTCTTGGAGGCTCAATTTCTTCATTTGTAAAATATGAACAACACAATTCATACTACCTTCCTCACAGAGCTGGTGTGAAGAAACATCTGTACAGATGTGAGTTATTCTCAGAATAATGCTCTGATCCCCTGAACCAACTGGCCAGCTACAATCTCTTTTTCAGTGAAGAACAACACATTTATTCTTACTCTTCCTATTTGAGAGGAGAGATACTTTGCATTCATCAATAAAGCATTCAAGTACCTGATGTTGGAAATACAAATACAAAACACAACCCCTGACCTCAAGGTCCTTACATTCTTTTTGGGGGGGAGAGGGGGAGAGAGGAAGTAGAAATGGCCCATGTTCAGGATCAAGAAAATACAAAATGTTTAGAAAACAAACGCAAAGTGATTTTGTTGGGGGTGAAGGGGCAGGGCACTAATCACTAGGAGAATTAGGAGAGATAACTTGAAGGTGGTGGCACCTGAGCTGAGCTTTAAAGAAAGCAAGGGAGTCTAAGAGGCAGAGATGAGAAGGGAGAGCATTCAAAGCACGGAAGGAAGGTTTGATGGGGAGGATGGAAACAGGCTGTGCAAGGGCATGGAAGCCAGAGATGAAGGACCCAAATCAGGAAAAGCAAATACAATTTTTTAAAAATACTTATAAAGCTCTTAGCACAGTGACTTAGCACATAGTAGGCACTTACTAAAAGCTTGCTGTCTTCCTCTTCCCCTTTTTTCCCAGTTTGGCTGGATGCCAGAGTGAAGGGGAGCAATGAGCAAAGAGTCTTGAAAAATAGGCTGGAGCCAGATTGGGAATGCCTTTAAATTCCAAGAATTTTTCTTTTTAACATCCAGCATTTATATAATACCTACAATGTGCCAGTTACTGTGCTAAGCACTTCACAAATATCTTATCATTTGACTCTCACAACAACCCTGGGAGGTAGCTGCTATGGTTAAACCTATTTTACAGTTGAGGAAACTGAGGCAGACAGGTGATGTGACTTGTCACATGGGTCACATGGGTAGTGGCCACACAGTGTCCTGGGTTTGATACACACGGGCAATTCAGGGTTGAGATTCAGGGCTGTGACTTTAGAATAATACCTGACCTGGATGGGAAAGCAATCCCAATAAAACTAGAAAGAACATAGAGTTTGCTGTTGCTGTTCAGTCGTTTTTCCATCATGTCTGACTCTTCATGACCCTCTTTGGGGTTTTCTTGGTAAAGATAATGGAGTGGTTTACAATTTCTTTCTCCAGCCATTTTACAGATGAGGAAACTGAGGCAAACAGGATTAAGTGACTTGCCCAGGGTCACATAACTAGTAAATTTCTGAGGCCAATTTTGAACTCAGGTCTTCCTGATTCCAGGCCTGGTACTCTACTGCACCACCTAGCTGCCCTAGAGTATGAAGACCTGAGTTCCAATCCTGATTCCAATGATTAGCTGTGTCATGTCTGAGGCTGGATTTGAACTCAAGTTTTCCTGACTACAGGCTCAGTGCTGTATCCACTGAGCCTTCTACCTGCTTTGTTTCTCATTTTTATTTATTTTTTTTTTCCTAGGGGCTTTAGACAGCAATGAAAACTCTTGAACAAAGGAATGGCATGGTCAGAGCTGTGCTCTAGAAAGATTACGTAGGCACCTATGTGGTGTACAGCCAGTTTTATTCTTTATGGAGAAACTGCAGGAGGGGTTGCCTGAGGAAGCCAGCGAGAACCCCAAAGGGGTCCAGGTGGGAGCTGCCAGCCCTCTGCTTCAGCCTTTACCTCACAGGCAAACAGCTTGAACTGCAGCCCCAGGATCTTGTAATCTATCAGCTGGTTCCCTCGGAGCTGAGTCAATGCCTCTTTCAAGTCTTGAAGAGCTGAGTCATATCTGCAGGGTAGAGAGGGTTAGTCAGCACGTTTGAGGCACTGTACTTTCCTGAATGCTCTCCCTATTTTTTCACAAAGACATGCACAAACACGTGCGTGCACACACATACACACGTAGACATACAGAAACACACACAGACATAGACACAAAGACACACAGAGACACACACAGACACAGACATACAGACATACAGACACACAGACACAGAGACACACACAGATACAGACACACAGACACACACATAGACATAGACACATGCACATAGATACAGATACACAGACACACACACATCCCTCCTCTTCCTCCAGTTTTCCTTAACTACTTTGGCTCTTTCCTTGGCCTCCATCACATTCTATTTGAAGGGCTACTTATCTGTATTACTGGAATTCCACCCTCCATCCCCAGCAGATTCTAAATTCAAGGTCAGAGACTGAATCTTTTTTCCCATCTTTTTACCTCTGTCAGTATCATCTATTCATTTTGGGCTGGGGGTGGGGGTGGGGCACTGAAGCTATTGTTTCACTGGTGTAGTGGATGCCTAGGGGCAGCTAGGTGGTGCAGTGGATAGAGGGCAGGGCCTGGAGTGAGGAGGACCTGAGACTAAATCCAGCCTCAGACCCTCTAGCTGTGTGACCCTGGGCAAGTCGCTTCACCACGTTTGCCTCCGTTTCCTCATCTATAAAATGAGCTGGAGAAGGACCTGGCAAACCACTCCAGTACCTTTGCCAAGAAAATCCCACATGAGATCACAAAGAGTCAAACAATTGAATAGCAACAGTGAATTCCTAGTGTGAAGACCCCTTCTATCAAGCTAGATTAGCCCCTGCCTCCCATTTATAGTCTTAGAGAGTTACCTGTGGCACAGACAGGTTAAGTGACTTGTCTACGGTCATCCAGCCAGTAGGTGCCAAAGGCCAGAATTGAACCTATGTTTTTCTGACTCAGGAAGACCTGAGCTCAAATGTGACTTCAGACACTAGCTGCCTGACCTTGGGCAAACCTCTATTTGCCTCAGTTTCCTCATCTGTAATATGGGGATAATAATAGCACCTTCCTCCCAGGGTTGTTGTGAGGATTAAATGAGATCAATATTCGTAAAAGGACTTAGCACAGTGCCTGGCACACAGTGGGCACTTAATAAATGCTTATTCCCTTCCCTCTTCCTTACATCCATTATGCCATAGCTGACCCTCTGACGCTGATTATTTGAATTGGATCCAGCAAACAGAGACTCGAGGGGAAGGTCCCTATCGGTGCCATCCCCACTGATCTCCAGAGGGCAGAAGCCGTCCCATTTCTTGGCTCCGGACTGGCCTATTCACCAAAGCTGAGTGGCAATGCTACACCCCCATACAGCTGTCTCCTTCCCTTTCTGTCAGGCTGTTCTGTCTCAAGTTACCACAAGGTCAGCCTTTCTTTCTCTGTCAGCACAAACACTTCCACCTTTCCGACAGCCCTGACTTTGGCTCCTGTACCCAGCAGTGGACTGGCGGCGCCTCTCACTGTAAGTCAACGGGCCGCCAGCTTTCTCCCCTCCCCATTCCACTCCCCTACGGTTTCCATCCCCCTTCTCAGTCCTCTGAGTCAAAGAGCTGAGTCAGAGTGAGCCTCCTTGCCAAGCAAGAAATGTCACCGCCTGATTTAGCTCCAAGGCTGTGGGCACCCACACTCACTCCCTCCGACAGCACACCCAAGTGGCAAAGACAGCCCCTCCTGCCCAGGGCTTTTTCCCTCGCCTGGATCCCACTCACTTCTCCTCTTTTGAGGCCTTCTTATGCTCCCTCTACCAACCAACCCCCCAAACACCCCACCACCCAACCATCGCTGCTTTTCTAATAAGGATTCTGCAATCTACTTGACTCTTGGTTTGTTCCTATCCTCTTGTTCTCTATAAGGAGAAAGAATCTTTTTTGCTTCTGAGTTAGGGCATGGCTCTGTATGACCTAGGGGGGCACTTATTATAGATTGAACTAATTATTGGATTCATTGTCAGGGATGCAGGCTGACTAGGTCAGGTACCCTCATCTGGAGTGAGAACTTCCACCCTCCATCCCCAGCAGATTCTAAATTCAAGGTCAGAGACTGAATCTTTTTTCCCATCTTTTTCCCTCTGTCTCCCCTTGCCTGGCACACGGTATCATCTATTCATTTTGGGCTGGGGGTGGGGTACTGAAGCTGTTGTTTCACTGGTGCGGTGGATGCCCAGGGGCAGCTAGGTGGTGCAGTGGATAGAGGGCAGGGCCTGGAGTGAGGAGGACCTGAGACTAAATCCAGCCTCAGACACTCCCTAGCTGTGTGACCCTGGGCAAGTCACTTCATCCTGTTTGCCTCAGTTTCCTCATTTGTAAAATGAGCTGGAAAAGGAAATGGCAAACCACTCCAGTATCTTTGCCAAGAAAACCCCACATGAGATCACAGAGAGTCAAACAAGGAGAAGGGATATGTAGCCACGGTGACTGATGAAGAAAGCAGTAGCCCCTGACTCCAAAGAAATTCCACCAAGCCCTGTGTCTAGCCTGATCTGACCTGCTCCCAACTGCAGTATGCAGCTAGGAATGGCTTTTCCTTATATTGAAACATCCAGCTCCCTTTTTCGGCTGGTGGGGGCCATTATGTAGGTAGGTCCAGCCTCCTGAGAGCCTGTAGTTTCATTTCCACAGGACTGTCCAAAATGGAGGCCCAGGTGTTGGCAGCGAAGGGGATGTGCCTCCGTCTTCTTGTAGCCTTCAGGTATGAGCATATTGCTGTGGTAGGCATATTACTCAGTAACCCCTATGGTAAGCTTACAGTTCTAATGGCTACGTCTTTGTTCCTTGGCATCCTGCATCCAACACAGTTTATTAGACTACTGTGATTGGAGTCACAAACAGAGGTTTGCCAACTCAACTGGGTCTTCAGCAGGAATCTTGGCTCTTCTGTGTTTAGTGTGTGACCATGGACAAATCAGTTCCCTTCCCCTACCTCTTTTCGGGAGGCTGCATGGCACAAGTAATGGAAAGCTGTGTCTGGAGTGAGAGAAGCCAGTTTATGATACTGTCTCTAATTCTTATATCCTGCGGGGGCTTGGGCAGGTGAATTAACTTGTCTGGGCCTCAGTTCCTCACCTATACAACGGGTAGATTAGATTCCCTCTACTTCTTAATCTACTGTCTTATGATCTAGGCTTTAATTCTTCCATCTGCTAAGCATGTGGTTAGATGATCTAACTTTAAATTCCCTTCCAATTCTAAAATGCTATGATCTTATGGTGCCACAGGGTCTCCTGTGTAATTTCCCCATGTTTCTCACCCAAGAGGTTTAAGAATGTCCCTTTCTAGCCCCTGCACAGTACATGGGGTGGATTATAACATGGGACAATGGGATATAGGTAATCTGTCCTTTTCTCTGTCAAGAGGTGTTGTCAGCTACTGGAGCTCTTCCCCAAATTCTGGGGAGTCTGGTGGGGGTCTGGCTGACCTGCCCTCTGGGCCTTGCCAATGTTTGTGGCCCCATGGTAGCTATGCTATTGTGTCCAGTGTGCCCTGCCAAGACATCTTTTTGAGAAGGATTTGGCAGCTATCTCTTGGCTTCTTGGGATTCAAGCATAGCAGTGTGGGTTCTAGTCAGAAGGGCCCTGGGAGTCAGCAGACCCCGACTTCTAATCCCAATTCTACCCCATCAAAGGGACAATCTCTGGTGGGAATATGACAACCTATAAATGTAGGATCTTAGGTATTTTAAACATGGTGTGGAAAGTCATTGTAACAACCATCCAAGGGCAAGGTTGTAATTGTTTTAAATATAATCTTTTATGGGGTAGCTAGGTGGTACAGTGGATAGCTCACTGGTCTTAGAGTCAGGAGGACTTGAGTTCAAATTCAGCCTCAGATACTTCCTAGCTGTGTGACCCTGGACAAGTCACTTAACTCCAATTGCCTCCCCTCCCCCAAGTACACACACACACACACACACACACACACACACACACACACACACACACACACGTGTGTATGTGTATGCACATACATGTATGTGTATACATATATAAGAATGTGTGTAGATACATATATACGTGTGTATGTGTATATATACTTGAACTACATATGGAACCCAGGTTCTAGTCTGGTCTTCTCCTGTACCTACCTTGCAGGGTTGTTGTAAGGACTGAAGAACAGAATATTTGTAAAAAGTGCTTAGCACATGGTAGGAGCTAAGTAAATGCTTATTCTCACACCCTTTTCCCTACTGAAACCAACAAGCCATGTGACCTTGGAAAAGTTCCTTTATGCATCTGGGCCTCAATTTCCTCCTATGTATAATGAAGGAGTTGGAGTAGTTCATCTCTTAGATACCTTTTCTGCTTTAATATTCTATACTTTTATTATTGCAATTCATTCAACAAGTGGGTAGCACCACTGCGTTTACAAGGCTACCTTCCGTAGCTAAGTGGCACCATAGTGGATAGAGGGCTGGGCCTGGTGTCAGGAAGATCTGAGTTCAAATCCAACCTCAGACACTTATTAGCTGTGCGACCCTGGGTAAGTCACTTAACCCTGTTTGCCTCAGTTTCCTCATCTGAGATGGAGAAGGAAATGGCAAACTGCTCCAACATCTTTGCAGAGAAAAACCCCAATGGGCCCACAAAGGGTCAGACAGGACTGAAATGACTCCAACATCTTTTTCAAGAAAACCCCCAATGGGCCCACAAAGGGTCAGACAGGACTGAAATGACTCAACAGCAGTAAGGATATGAAAGAAGTAGGAGACAGGACCCCAGTCTCAAGGAAGTTGATTTTCTGTGTGCTTCTGCCTGCTTAACTACTGCATGAGGAAGGCAGATCCCTTGTGGTTCATGAAGAAGTGGGTTATTTTTATTTGCTTGTATAGGGTAACTCATCAAGTAGCATGCATGTCAGTTTATTCTAAAGTTAAATATGGGAAGAATCTGACTTTTAGAACTAGGAAATGAAATTATTTTATTTCTACTTTTTCTGATTGTATTATTAATACCAATATTTTTA